AAACCAAAAATGTTACCATTCAGAAACTGGTGTCACAACCCACGAACATTCTATGAATATCTACAAGTATTTGTCTGGAAGAAAAGTACATCTATCTCGAAAGAAAAAAAACAGAAATGTAGAACATTGGAGGGGACGCCAGGGCCTGCGGATGCCTGCAAGACTACCTTGGGTCTCCTAGATGAATGCCTGCAACTGACCTCTAGATCAGCGACAACTAGCTCTAAAATCTGCACAGAAAGTACAGAGTGCAGTATCAGTACAACCGACCCCATGTACTGGTAAGTGCAGAGCCTAACCTCAACAAGGTGGTGACGAGGCTATGGCGGGGCATATACAATATAACCTGCAAAAGTATATAATAAAGCCAAAAGGAAATACGGAACGAAATGGAACAGTAACTTGCAGCAAATAAATACGGAACCCAAATAATTTGCCAGTACTATGTTATAACCAATCCTTAAGAGGGTTACAATACCACAAAATAAAATCACAATAGAGGAAGAATACATAAACAACAAAATGATGCAGCGCGCATCCCGATCCCACCATATAACAAGTAACAATATGAACATTCACCCTTATTACTCCTTGTTGCGGCGTGCAACCCGATCCCACCAGTCCACCGTTATTACTCCTCAATATATCACCCTTATTCCTCCTAATGTGGCATGCAACCCGATCCCACCTGTCCACCCTTATTACTCCTTGTTGCGGTGCGCAACCCGATCCCACCAGACAATCACATTTAACCCTTATTCCTCCTGTTGAGGCGAGCAACCCGATCCCACCATATCAGTACCAATCACAAAATAAGAATAAGTATTTAACAATTTAGCTCAAAACCCTCCACAACATTTATACCTCAAACCAAAACAACAGGAAATCTATACAATTATGAAACTTCATCAGTTAATACTACACAGCGAGACCAATCAAAATGTACCATGAAGCACCAATAAACCAACTTAAACCAACAATGTAATATAATGAAACTACGAAATAATTAATAACATCAATAGAGAAAACAACATTTAACAAGAAGCAATTAGACATAGAAGCATCAATAAGCAAGTACCAGTTAAGACAGGACAACAATATACTAGGAACGAGTAAGGAAACAGGCTAAACAGATAATTTGGCGGCGTAAAGGTACTCGTCACCACACCTATACACCACACACATGGAATTTAACATAGCAATTAAGTCGGGGATTCCTAATCCCTCGAGTCAAGGTTAGATCAAACACTTACCTCAATCTAACGGGCAATTCAAAGCTCAATTACCGCTTTACCTCTCGATTCCACCTCTAATCCACTCATATCTTGTCATAATTAACTTAATAACATCAATTATTGCTAAAGAAGTCAATTCTAATGCATAATTATAGGTTTCTCAATATTTTCCCCAAAAAGTCAAAAACCGACCCCGGGCTCGCTCGGTCAAAACCCGAAATTAAGATCAAAACCCGATTACTCATTCACTTCCGAGCCCCGATTTACAATTGATTTTGGAATCCGACCTCAATTTGAGGTCTAATCCCAAAATTTCGAAATCCCTAAGTTCTACCCAAAATGCCCAATTCCACCATGAAAAACTCTAGATTCTAGGATTATATTTTGTAAAAAGATGTAATAGATTGAAATAAATGAGTTAAGAATCATTTACCTATGATTTGGGGAAGAAATGGTCTTTGGAAAATTGCCTCTTGCGGTTTAGGTTTTGAAGAATGGGAGAATGAATGAAAAATCCCGTCCAAATATTTTTTGAACAGTTGCAGTTATCGCATTTGCGATCTTGCGATCAGGGGTTCGCAAATCCAAACTCGCAAATGCGGACATTACTTTGCAAATGCGAAAAATGGCTTGGCTTACTAACATCGCAAATGCGAACAAATGTTCACAATTGCGGCCTGTTCACATCGCAATTGCGATCCTGAGCTTCGCAATTGCGAAGGTCCCCTCCCAGCCTTTCTGATCGCAAATGCGAAGTCTGCAGACCTGAAGCATACCAGCAAATATTCCTTAAGTCCAAATCACTCTGTAGCCTATCCAAAACTCATCCGCGCCCTCGGGGCTCGAAACCAAACATGCAAACAAGTCTTAAAACATCATACGAACTTGCTCGCATGATCAAATCGCCAAAATAACACCTAGAACTAAGAATTTAGTACAAAATTGCATGAAATTTTCAAGAAAGTTACAAAACTTCTATTTTCTCAACCAAGGGTCCGAATCCCGTCAGATAAACTCCATTTTCACCAAATCTCACTGACATGACTCAAATATCATATTAAATCTATAGCGGGCTCCGGAACCAAGATACGATCCCGATACCAACGAGATCACACATTAATGAATTTCTTTAAATCCTTATAATTTCAGTTTAACAATTTTCATCAAAAATTCATTTCTCGAGTTAGGGACCTCGGAATTCGATTCTGGGCATACGGCCAGGTCCCATATTTTACTACGGACCCTTCGAGACCGTCAAAATATTAGTCCGGGTTCGTTTACTAAAAATATTGACGGAAGTCAACTAAAATTAACTTTTAAAGACAAAAATTATTATTTTCTCAAATTTCCACATAAAGGATTTTTAGAAGCATGCTCGGACTGCGCACACAAATTGAGAAGAAAAAAAATGAGGTCTTGAAGGCCTTAGAACCCAAAATTGGGCTCTAAAACACAAGATGACCTTTTGGGTCGTCACAATCGCGAACGAGAAGGCTGACAAGCCTGAGCTTCGCGAACGCGGGGTACAGCTCGCGAACTTTAAGAAGAAGGAGTTCACCCCGCCGGCCCATCTCCCTACATGAATGTAGGCCTCCTCATATGAACACAGAGGCCACAAGTCCCAGACCTTCACGAACGCGGGTAAGGAGTTGCGAACGCATAGAGAAAATATCAACCCCTCACCTTTTCCTTCTCCATGAACGTGACACAACCCTCGCGATCACAAAGAAGGAAACTAGAACCAGTACACCATATTTTTTATACTTAGCTCCGGGCGGTCCGAAATTCACTCGAGCCACCTGGGATCCCGTCCAAGTGCACCAACAAGTCCATAAACATAATATAAACGTGTTCGAACTCTCAAAATGTGTAAAACAATATCAAAACTAAGAATGGCACCCCAAAACCAAATTGAATCAAATTATCAACTTCAAGTTTTTAACTTGCTCCGAACGTGCCGAATCATACTTAGACTACTCAAAATGACACCAAAATTTGTGTGCAAGTCACAAATTACCGTATGGAACTATTCTCGGGCTCGGAATCCCAAACGGACCTTAATAACATCAAAACTTACTCCAAAATAAACTTAAAGAACTTTAAAACCTTCAATGCGTCAACTTTTAACTTTATGCGCCAAAACGCTCTCAGGCCATTCGAAACCCGATCCGAACATACGCCGGAGTTCTAAATCATCATACGAACTTTTGGAACCTTCGAATCCTGATTTAGGGTTCGCTTACTCTAAATTTTGATTCAAGTCAAACTTATCCATTTTAAGCCTTTATTAAGAAACTAAGTGTTCCGATTTCAACCCAAACCCTTTCAAAATCCGAACTAACCATCCCCGCAAGTCATAAAATAGTAAAAGCACATATGAGGGGTATTATTTAGGAGAACATAGATCTAGAAATTAAAATGACCAGTCAGGTCATTATATTACACATTTAATAGTGGTTTTGAATTGGTTTTCTATCATACTCACAATTGCCTTTCTGACTTGTAGGACATTACCTTTGCAACTCAAGGGTTGGTTCCAAGTGGACCTACTATTGTCATGTACTAGGGTAAGGAAATATTTGAAGTTATTATGTGTGGACACATGGTAAGGGCCCTATAGATCTAGATGAAGTATTTCAATGATTTTAGTTGTGTCAGTTGTTCTTTGAGGAAAGGGAAGCCTAGACTACCTAGCCATAGGGAAAATGGTACACATGAAAAGTTGTTTGGTAGAAAAGGTTGCATGTATAGTGGAAATGCCTCTTATTTTACTGAAGGGTACATGACCAAGTCTGAAATGTCGTAATAGTTCTACATTATCACTAAGAGATGAGCAAGAAGACAAACCAGAAACACTGTTTTTATTATTTTAATTGGAATTATTTACAATAGGGAATGTATTGTGAGAATGAGATAGACAGTGTATAACATTCATATTATCAGCATGAATAGAAAAACAAGGAAGATCACATTTTTGTTTAGATGCAAGACTACCTTTCTTTAGACACTTAGAATAGAGGAAGTACAATTCATCACATATCTTACCAATATTCAGAGACCTCTTCTGCGAAGGGACCTGTAGTAGGCAGGAAGTGTCAGAAAAGGATGCAATGCATTTGAGATGCATTGCTAAGGAACTTATAGACACTAGATTGAATTTGAAGGATGGAACAAACAAGACTTTGTACATAACAATTTTGAGGTCAAGGGCACATCTCCAATTTTAGTTTCTTTAACTTTGTAACCATTTGAAAGTTTAACTAATAGAGGATATGGTAAACTTATAATATTTTGTAAGTGAGTTTTGCTAAAAGTCATATGGTGTGATGTCCCAGAATCTAATATTCATAAGTCAACTTTTGCATTAAAATATTTTTGTGATAGATTATCAAAATCAATTGAAGAGGTGCAAGCAATTATACCTGCAAAGTTCATAGAATCTCCACTGACACATTTGCACTGGCTGAGTTTTTTTCAGTACTGCCAATCTGAAAATGCTGTAGCAGGCTGAAAATTTGTCCATACTGCTCCTTTAAAACACTCATGCTTTGATTTTCTCCTTGGTGTTCCCTCTTTTCCTCTATCTATGTTTGCAACTGCATTTGCCATGGTGTTCTTTCCTTTATTGAACCTTGCATTGTTGTTGTATCCTTGAGAACTTTGTTTGTACTGTTATGACCCTTAATTAAAACCTTGAAGGTATCCATGTAGTTTATAGCACTTGTCTTTCGTATGACCTGGTCGTTTGCAATGGTCACAAAAAGGTTAGGGTTTGTTGTTTGTAATCTCATTTCCAGTTGAGTACTTTGTTTTGAAGCTTCTTCCTCCTAGATTAGCATTCACTGTAATAAAATCAACAGTTAGCTGATTTCTTGGCCTGAACTCCCTCTGCTTTTCCTCCTGTATCAGTAGAGCAAATGCATGTGCCATGGATGGCAAAGGATTCATCATGGGTATGCTTCCTCAAACAACTGTATAAACTTCATTGAGTCCCATTAGAAATTGTATCAATCTTTTATCTTGTTCTGCCTTATGCATATTTTCCTCTATCCATAGGTACACACACAATGACAATGAGTTTTGATACTCAAAGTATTCAATTCTTCCCAGAGCTTCTTCATTTTTGTGTAGTGGCCAGTGATATCAAGTGCTCTTTGACTCAAGTCATTGATTTCTTTCTAGATTTGGTACAACTTAGATCCATTCATCTGATCATATCGATCCTCTAGTTACTTCCACAGCTCAACAAAATCATTCACATACTCAAAACTGTTAGCAATGTCCTTTGCCAGAGAATTTAGGATCCATAAGGTGACCATATCATCACATCTCTCCCACTAACGAAAATATGGAGATGTTGCATCGAGTCTCTTACAATCCCCGTTAATAAAACCTAATTTATTTTTCCCTAAAAGAGGTTTGAATACACTTCTTCTACAGGAACGATATCCAATTCTATCAAATGGAACAAGTACCAGTGTGGAACCAGAGTTGTCGGAAGGATATGTGTAAAGAGGGCTAGTTGTATCGATTACTATCTGTGTTGTTGTCGTTATTGTCATCTCTTCAATCTGGGCTACAATCTCCATTGAAATTCTGCAAAATCAGTTAGATTGATATTCGTGTAGCTGAAATATAGCTCAATTTCTTCTATTTTTTGATGAATCGTCACTGTATGAGTTCGATCGGGATTTTCCCCAAATTGTTGGTTGATGAAGAACCCTAGGTTACTCAGTGATTAGAATCAACAAAAAATCAATAGAAAGGCGTGGTCGATGAGAGATTCTCCGCTCTGATACTATGTCAAGATTATAGATGTTGATTAAGCTCTGTATCTCCTCCAATGGAGGATTCAGTAGCTTCAAGAAGATGGAGTTCGTAGAGAGAGAAATGAGAGTTGTACGTTTCTCTTTATAAGTCTATTTCTTTCACTACTTTCAAGATTATAGATGTAGACTAAGCTCTGTATCTCCTCCAATGGAGGATTCAGTAGCTTCTAGAAGATGGAGTTTGTAGAGAGAGAAACGAGAGCTGTAGAAAATCTCTAACTTTGTGAGATAAAACTCTAAGTCTTGTATTGAGTAATATTCAGTTATATGCAAGTGTACAACTAAGATACAGCTGAAAAGAGAATAAACCTCCACTAACAAATCTGTTAACAGACTATGATAAATAACACTAACTAACAGTGTGCTGACTCAACTCAATTACAATATAAATTTAGTCTTAATACAAATAGTATTAATTATACTGAAACTGTACAAAATTGCTACGAGACAATAAATAAATGGTGCAAATAATTAAGTAATAAAAAAGCAGTGCAAAGAGGATTGAAGGCCTCCGAAGGGACCACGTCCAAGTCAAATGAATGGAACGAATAAAGATGAGGATTTAACATAAATAATTCTCATGAACATCAATCATATAGTACACAGATATTCATAAACATTTGACCTTGGGTCTCTACTGAATTTGAATTTAACTTGCTGGAAAACCTTTTCTTAATTTAGCTTGTTCTTCTCCTAATGTGAACAGAAGCAACTTATGCCATCTTTTATACAAGGTGTGGATGCATGTTGTTGCCCTCTCCTCTTCCCCAAATTAAAAAATATCCAAGTAGTTTAAAAGGACTAATTAATCAATTACACAATTCAATTCTAAGATCCAATCTACTAACGTATTCCCGTTCCTATCCAAGTCCATTCTGCGAGAAATTAAAGCAGAAGAGAATTGAGAGAGGAACTCATCTTGGCCATTGACAACGTAACCCCTTTTACGTTAGGCTCGCGAATGAGAGCGGGACGCACCTAAATACATATTGGGCCTCTACATAAGACTCAGTTAACTCATTTCGGACTGGTCATTCAACAATAGCCAGCGTTTACGAATTCAATGAAAAATAGTCACTATTTTGCTGCAACAGAGACCGATCCAACATAATATACTGGAGTTCGATGTACCTGTGTATGAACTCCAACATATTATGTTGGACCGGTATACTTGCTGACTCCAGTATAATATACTGGAGACTGAAGCACCGGTGTTCCAAACTTCAGTACATTATACTGGACAATTATACTTGCTGGAACTCCAGTATATTATGCTGGAGTTCTAGTGTACTTATGCTCGAACTCCATCATATTATGCTGAAGTTCCAGCATACTTTTCCTGGAACTCCAGTATAATATGCTGGAGTTCAAGCATACTTATGTTGGAACTCCAGTATAATATGCTGGAGTTCAAGCATACTTATGTTGGAACTCCAGTATAATATACTGGCGTATTCTTCGGGTTTTGAACAATGTTTTCGCTCACATTTATCTTTACATGGAAAGTGGCTAAATTTCGATTACTTTTAAAACTGAGCTATTTTTGAATGACTAGTTGTAAATCTGGCTATTTTTGAATTTCTCTCCATTATGAGGGATGTAATGTAGCGACAATATTTGGAATTTTCCTGGCAATTTTACACCCCAACCCCGTCAANGCGACAATATATATATATATATTCAGTTCTGGTTTTTTCTTTTTTCAGTTTACATGTTCAAAATTTTACGAGTTCCAAAGTTATGAGTCGGAGGTTTATGTGTTTGGAAGTTAGCGGATTTAGAAATTATAGAGTTTACGGGTTCGATGTTTGCGAGTTTGAAAGTTTAGCGGTTCAGAAGTTTATGAAATTTGTGGGTTCAGAAGGTTGTTGGTTCGAAAGTTTATGGGTTCATGTTTATTGTATTTAATTATTTATGAATACTTTTGAGAAGTTATTTTCCTTAATTTGCATATCAAACACCGTAGCTTCAAGTACCTTGGGTCAGTTATCCATGGGGGAGGGGAGATTGATGAAGATGTCGCACACCGTATTGGGGTAGGATGGATGAAGTGGAGGTTAGCATCCGGAGTTTTGTGTGACAAAAGAGTGCCGACAATACTCAAAGGTAAGTTTTATAAAGCGGTGGTTAGACCGGCCATGATGTATGGGGCAGAGTGTTAGCCTGTTAAGATCTCACATATCCAAAAGATGAAAGTAGCTGGAATGAGAATATTGAGGTGGATGTGCGGGCACACCATGATGGACAAGATTAGAAATAATGATATTCGGGAGAAGGTGCACGTGGCTCCCATTGATGACAAGATGCGAGATGCGCGGCTCAGATGGTTCGGACATGTAATGAGGAGAAGCCCAGATGCTCTAGTGAGGAGGTGTGAGCGGCTGATTGTGGAGGGTACGAGAAGAGGTAGAGGGCGGCCTAAGAAGTATTGGGGAGAAGTGATCAGGCATGATATTGCGAGACTTCAGATTTCCGAGGACATGACACTTGATAGAAATTTGTGAAGGTCGAGTATTACAGTTGTAGGCTAGGAGCTAGTTGAGTCTTGCATTACTTTGTTCCATTGTGAGCCTAGTCTGGTAAGGTTTTAATCGAAAATTACTAGAGGCATTGTCGTGTCTTAATATTTTCTCTTTTCGGTGCTAGATCTATTTACTAGCCATCATTTCTGTCTTGTATTTTCTTATGCATTTTAGGTTCCTATTTTTCCTATGATCTCTATGGTGAAACTAATATTCTCCCCTTTTGTTTTTCTGGTTTTTCTTATTATCTTGAGCCGAGGGTCTTTCATAAACAGCCTCTCTACCCCTTTGGGGTAGGGGTAAGGTCTGCGTACATACTACCCTCCCCAGACCCCACTTATGGGATTTTCCTGGGTTGTTGTTGTTGTTGCTGCATATCAAACAACGGAAAATGAGTAAGATTACTACTTTTTTCAAGAAAATATTAACGCACCCTGTATCTCCCCTTCCTTTTTGTGTATTTTCTCCTTTTTGTTTGGTGTCAAAGTCTTTTTCTGCAGAGTCGTGGAGTGACTCCAATTCTTTACTCATATTTGATTGTGAATTTCTATTTCCTACTTCGATTTTAACCTGAATGGACGATTACCACGTAAATAACATATATGCTATTCTCTGTCTATTTTTAGTTTATTCAATTGCTTCTACGTTCCTTACCTCTCGTGGTTGATGGTATAGGATAATTAATCACATTATAAAATTCGCATAAATAATATGTGTCTGGTTGGCCGCATAATTAGAAAAAATAACTTCTGCACATAAATAATAATCCATATAACAATACATAGATTTCCTTTTTGATTAAGTAATTTGTGTATAACATACTTTATTTTTAATCACTGCATAAACAATTCATGCATTATAATTTTCACATAACTAACATGTGAATTAAATGACCTTTGTGCGGAACTTGTGAAATTCAATGATGATTAGAAGCATGGCAAATAAATAAATAAATAAATTACCCAAGCTATTTTTAAGCTTAAACTTGAATCGTACCGATAAAAAGATTCTATTAATCCAAAAAGATTAAAAGGGGATATTACGCATTATGAAATTTTAGCTTATTGTTTAGAAGACACCATAGATGCGTTCTAGAAATCAAAACCAAACAGAAAAAATTACAATCATTTATATAGGACTTGCACCATTGTAGCTAGAGCCAAAGAGAGACGGTATAAATACATATATATATAAATAACTCTTATCCACCATATTTATTTATTATATGCTTACAATTAAGTGACTACATAATTGCCTGATTATGCTCCATGGTCACATTCGTAGGTACAAGTCTTGCTCTTATCGCCCGAACTTCCTCAACACTAGTTTGAAATGCCCTGGCCACGACTTCGTCTGGAATTTGAGGTCTACTCGCAAACATGGAAAGTGCAATAACCTGAACACCAGGATTTTGGCTGTTAAAGGCCACAATAATAGTTGCGTTACCTCTGCCAACATTAAAGCTGAAATGGATGAGCCCTCTTGGGAAAACAAAGACTTCACCCTTTGTGATCAACTTGTTAACAAAAACATTGTCCGTAGTGATAAATCCAGCCCTTAATTGACCTTCAAGTACGAAAATTATTTCTGTGGCTCGAGGGTGAGTATGTGGAGGGTTTAAACCATCAGGATCGAAGTCTACTCGAGACCATGACATTCCCAGTGTGTTAAGGCCAGGCATGTTAAAAACGTTGGCTACCGCGACTCGAGTGCCAAATATGTTGGGTTCTCCTGGTTGTGCAATTCCCATTGATGCAAAATCTTCTGGAGTGAATGTAAAGTTCCTTTTGCATGAAAATCCATTCACAGTTATAGCTGTTTCACATATATATTAAAAAAGGTTATATGAGTAATTAAATAAGAATAATCAACATTACGATTATATATATATATATATATATATATATATATATATATATTGTGCGTGTGTGTTTTAAATTGCTCCAAAGATGCTTTAAACTAGCTAGACTTTTTGCTTATACTAATTTTTATGTTTACATAAGAAAATAATTTTGACAGATGAGTAATTAGTTGTATAATTGGTAGAAGCAACAGACATTGAGAAAAGAGACATACATTAATTCTCTATCAATGAAAAACATAACTGTTTATTATAATAAGTAAACCATAGAGAAAATGAGATGATAAGAAATTGGTTATTGGAAAAGAAATACTAACATGAGTTGTAATCAGCGACACAAATATCCTGAAGTGGATCTGGATCTGACGCAGAAACTCTGTTAAAAGTAATAGTTAAAATGGTGATGGCTGCCTTGAAAAGGATCATGTAAGCCATGGATAGGATTGGAGGAAGTTATAAGAGGAGAGAAAACGGTAGCTTTATTTATAATTAAGGGGCGTCATCATATTTATATTATTATATATAGGAGTTTCTCTTGATCAGGATTGATCTAGCCATGGCTCTACAAGTAATTCTGAACTCAATCTTTCATTTTAACGATGCCAACACGTAAGGAATGATAGTAACAAAATTTTGCAAATCATATATGAAATCTCATATGTGTGCAAGCCTAGTCCCCTTTAAAGTAATATAATTGCACCAAGGCAATTGTATTACTTCCATGTCTAAATCAAATTAATGTAATCATCTAGAAGACCACCTTCTCCCATAATTTGTTACCTAGTAAAATGAAAAATAAAAATGATGAAAAACGTATAGAGTTTCCACTCATAAGACAAATTCCTTCACTAAAGTTACTGTAGTACTCATTCCTTTCTCCAGAAAGGAAATAAAAGCATATGAAATGTTGAAATTGCTGGAAACTAGTAGTGTTCCACTGAATACAAACTAATATTAAATCACTGTACTCATTCCTTTATCCAGGTAATTATATTCACGCCTGGTATACTAACTGGTGTAAAAGCTGCGTATTGAATTAAATAAAGCCTAACATCAATTTCCTATTAAGTAGCAAGCTCAAAATTGATGCTTTTTCCAAATGATTGGATAAAGAGTAAATATGTAATCTCAAGTTGTAAATGCATCTTGATTTAACACTATCTCTGATGTAAGATATATATCCAATCAGACGCTTAACAAGAAACAAACACCTTCCTGAGACGTTAGAACTCTTTGTGAATTTAAGATAATTACCAGTGACTTTTGTGGTCTGTGTTGGCTGGATGGTTACCGTATTATTATTTGGAAAGAAATGTAGCGTAAGGTTGAGTTTTCAAAATAGTTACAATTGTTCCGACATTGTGGAAGATTAGTTCCCCTCCTCCCTCTCCCTCCCCAAATAAAATAAAATATATCCAAGTAGTTTAGGTTCTACATTGATCTTAAAAACAGGGAGAATATATGACTTAAAATTACCAATTACTCAATTCCACAATCCAATCTAGTAATCTACTAATGTATTTCCATTCCTTTACTAGTCCTATCTATGAGGAAACATAAGAGACTAGAGAGAGGGTCTCATCATGCCCGTTGTATCTTTATGTTAGGCTTTCGAATATTAGTGAGAGCAGAACACACATTAATATTCTGGCCTGATCCAAAGACTTGTTACCTCATTAAGCTTTGCTAAGGCCTTTTCAAATTGGGTTTTGTTCTTCACTTTTGGTCGCTGGATGTATAATATATGGATTATCGATGTATAATATATATATATATATATATGTAAACTGACTAAAAAAAGTAAATAATGAATCTGACTGGCTATTTGTGTATCTGCATGTCCCTCTCTTTGTATGTTTTCTCTTTTTTGTTCAGTGCGAATTTTTTTCCACAGTCCTGGAGTTAATCCACTTTGTGACTCGTATTTGACAGTAAATTTGTATTTCCTACGTTGCTTTTAATCTGAAAGGAAGATTACAACGTAAATAATATATATAATGTTCTCTGTATATTTCTAGTTTACGAGGCTTAGGGTACGCACGATGCACGTAAATCCTGTCTCAATACAACAACAACAACAACAACAAACTACCCAGTGTAATCCCACAAATGGGGTCTGGGGAGGGTAGGATGTACGCAGACCTTACCCCTACCTTACTCACTGAGAATCCTATCCCAATGATCGTGAATATTGGTTGTGTCTAACTAACTTAATAATTAAAGAAACTATCTCAGAAGTCCGCAATTATCAATAATTCAGCTTAAAATTTATTTCAAGTTTGCAATTTAGTAATTTCAGTTTCACGCGCAAGAATCATGAAAATCTAAATAATCTTGAAGAATACAAATTACAACATATAAGCAAGCAACTAATAATTAGTGAACTTTAAGTAAACACTAGATCAAAGTGCATGTCACGACCCAAAAATTCACCGCAGGCATCGTCATGACACCTAATTTATAAGACTAGGTAAGCCGATTACTATACAATTAAGACAGTTTTTAACAATGATAATTTGAAACATAGTTTAACATAAGCATCGAAACAAAAGCAGAATAAGCCTACGCGGCAATAATCATAACAACCTTCCAATATGGGTAGTACAAAGTCAAGAACTCTAGTTGAATACAAGGAATGATCATAAGTATCAAAATACAATACTGTTCAAATGACAAACTGACAGTATAATGTAACGAAAGGATTCCAAGGGTTTGTGATGACCAAGCAGCTCTACCTTAGATCCTCACGATCAACAAGCTAACTCTTCCTGGTCCAATATCTCCAATACCTGGCTCTGCACAAAAATATGCAGAAGTGTATTATGAGTACACCATGGTTGGTACATGATGGTAGGCTATAATCTCGTATTTTAGTCACTTATTTCACTCTAATTTATTGTACTTTAATTGCGTTTGAGTTTTAATCGCCAGTGTTTTGTACGTATTGTGTGTTTTATGCCTTGTAGGAGTGATTTTGAGTGATGTAGATTTTACAGAGCTAATTTGAGCTAATTTGAGCTTTGAAGTCTGAGTAAAAGCCCAAAGAATTAAGCCGGGATCATGTTCGGGGGTCGGGGACCAAGCCTGGAGATCAAAAATCGAAGTTTGAACCGTACTATAATATAATCCCACAGCAGCATTGCATGAGGTGCCGCTGATCTACAAAACCTGCTGCCTGACAGAAGTTGAGCTCTCTGGATTTCCCCACTAATGCCCTGCACGTCGTGTCTCCCCATGCGGCGCGCCTGTGCAATTTTTATAGAGCCAATGTCCTATTTTGGCTAAGAGAAGTTGGTTTCGTGTGGGTCCGATCCTACTTGGTATAAATATATAACAAAAATATTATTTTCTTGACTTTTGACACGTTTTCGATCTAAGGAGGCTAAGGAGGAGTTGGAAGAATACGAGCACAAGGATTTCATCATTCCTTCCGCACTCAAGACCCGAGTTTGGATTGAATTTATGTTTTCCTATACTTTTATTATATTTGTGATGAATTACTCCATATCTATGGAGTAGTTCCCTTTAGGGTTTGATGGATTTGGTGTATTGATGATTGTTTGTAGGTTATAACTCTAGTTTTATGTATTGAAGCATTTTTGGATGATTTAATTGTTGAATCTATATTCACTTGTTCATGTAATCGAGAGAGGCATAACTTGTGATATCTTTGCATTATATTATTGGTTGAGTTCATTAATTCTTCTTAGTAATAGAAAGAAGCTAGTTGAATAATTGATTAAACATAGTTAGGAGGATAATCGAGAGAGGTTCTCCTAAAGACCAATCCACTGCGTATTCTTGCATATCTTCACAGAGCTTAAATTGGTTCATATCGTGATGTTGAGACTTAATCGAGAGAGGAGTTTCTACTTAACGTTTGAACTAATAGTTGAGTGAATTCGAGAGACTCACTTGAATATTAGAAGTGAATTATCTAGAGTTAAATCCTAGACAATTATCATGCACCTATCCTATCAAAACTCTATCTTGTCCTACTGATAACCTTCTTTGCTCATTTCTTATTTCGATTGTCACTAGTCAATAACTTTAGATTTTTAGTTAATTTTATTATTAATATCATAAATCTCAATTGTTGATCTTCGTGGATAACAATCAAGCTAGAAACTACGAGAGTACTATTTAACTCCAATCCATGTGGATATGATATTATACTATACTATATTTGATTAGCGAGCATAATTTAAGTGTGTGTTTCGAGCTTGTCAATTTTTGCGTCGTTGCTGGGGATTGACAATTAATAGTGTTTGAAATAATTTTTAGTGCTAATTCAGGAATTTTCCTTTTATTTTATTTTATTTTTCTCTTTTTACGGTTGGTGTTCTTAGACTGTGCGCAGGTTACATGTTAAGATTAGTGCATGACTCGAGCTTTTAGGAAAAATGTGCTACCCTACGAACCAGAGATAGAAAACAACTATAACAGCTGGGGAAGGAAAGAAATCTCACCGAGACATTAGAGAAGGTTGGGCAACCCTCAACCAAAGGAACTGTGGCTGGAGATGGTGATGAGATTGTAGATTTGGCTGCAAGAGAGGCAGCCCAACAACGAGAAGAAGCTTCTAGGGATGCTGAGGAAGCAGCTATTAAAGATGCATAGATTATATATGAAAAAGAGAGGGCTTAAAGACTTACACAAAATCAACCCTTAGCTGCAGACCAGTTCGGAAATATACTTCCCGTGGGCCTGGGAGATCACTGGACGATTATGCTCGACCGGTCTACCACCAAGGATTACCAAGTGTGAGACAACTTCCAATTGCAGCTAACATTTTCGAGTTGAAGCAAGGGTTGCTTCAAACCCTTCAAAACTACTTTGTCTTCAGAGGAAAAATGAATGAAGATCCAAACACACATTTAATGGACTTCGAGGAGATTATAAATACATTTCAATACAATGGTGTGCCACAAGATGCAGTGTATTTAAGGGCATTCCCCTTTACACTCAAAGATGATGCAAAGCAGTTGCTTCGAAGCTTGCCCACGGGATCAATTAGAACATGGGATGAGATGACCAAAAAATTCCTTGATAAGTATTTCTCATCAGCTAAAATGGGCAAGTTCAGAAGAGAAATCCATAGCTTATACCAAAAAGAAACTAAAACTGTTTTTAAAGCATGAAAGAGGTTTAAGGAGATAGTGCGTAAGTGTCAACATAGTGGGATTGAACTCTGGATGAAACTCTAGGACTTTCTGAATGGATTGACATCAGCCTCACGTAGAACATTGAGCAATGCAGCAGGTTGCCCCTTGATGAAGAAGACTCCAGAGGAGATAGTTACAATTATTGATGAGTTATCTGAAGATGCAAATCAGTGTCCCTCTGAGAGTGTTAAAAGAAGAAAATCAACCAATGTTCACCAAGTTGATGTTAATACATCTGTGCAGGTACAACTTGATGCTATGGATAAAGAA